CTTGTGCCAGGCAGATTCCTGGCACCTCTAATCCAGAGGCGGTGATGGAGGGCCTTCCTCATTGCCTCATTTTTCCCATTGTGACAGTTCCATATCTACTGTTCCCCGACACACTGGTGACAGCCTTCTAATGATGAAGGCGGCATCAATGTCATAGAAATTTCTCCAGAACCCAAGGGGCTAGAAGGAGAATAGGTTCAGGAAGCTGGGAACTGAATGCTCTTTACTGCATGGTGGAAAGAACAAAGCCTTTAGAATATGAAAGACCTGAGTTCAAATTCTGCCTAGGCCTCTTCCTAGCTGTGTGACCTTGAACAAGTTACTTAACCCCTCTGAGTGCCAGCTTCTATATTGTAAAATGAGAATACCTTACATGGTTATCTTGAGAATTAAATGTCATAATGCTGATAGAGAATATGACATAGAGTCTGGCATACAGTAGGCACTCAATAAGTGAGTTCCCTTGCCCAGCAGGCATGGGTTGGGAGATGCACACCTGTACCTATCTGCTGCACCACTGCAATAACAGAGAAAAGGGAGCCCTAAGGGCATGACTGCTTGGTAAGATGGGAATGGTAGTCAGCAGGCACTTCCCCCCACACCAGTGGCCAGGTTCTGCCAATTCTCGTGGCCTGCCCAGGGGGTCCTTACAGTGCTCTTTCCTAACATCCACAGTTGCAATCTGGGTTTTCCACCTGTATCTTTCAGTCTCCCTCCATCTCTCTCCTTGTGAGGACAGAGGTCACTCGGTCTCCTTTACCAAAGATCAGATCCCTTGGCTGTTGCAGCAGCTGCCCTGCCCACCCCAGCCCTAGCCCCATCCATCTCACCAGGTCCTCCCTCTTCTTTTTCCCCTAAACTGTAGAGGAGCTGGCTGTTCTCTTTTGTGCTTTCAGGTCTTTGAACTTGTTGTTCTAGAATGTCCTTCCATTCTCTGCTTGGGGAGCTCTTAATTATCCTCCAAGTGCGAGCTCACTTGTCATCTACTTTGTGATGCCATCTTTCCCTCCTCTTGCTCTCGGTTTAGCAGGAGCCATGGAACATCCACCTGCCTCCCTAACTGAGCTTCTCAAGAGCAGCAGCTGGGCCTCGTCCATCCCAGCATGGCCAGTGCTCAGTAAATGTGGGTTTGGGTAAAAGAACAGTGTGTTTTGCCATGGACGGCAGTGGGGTCCCCCTTAACAGCAGCTTCCTGTAAAGGTGGCAGTCCCTCCTCAAGGGTGGCTAGCTTAGGTCCTGCTAGTGCGGGCCTGACTGTGTATGTAGACATGTAGGGGCCGATGGCTAGAGGGCTGATGTGCTCATCCCACCTAGATTCTGTACCTGTCTACTCTAAGGATGGAGGCGGGGCAAAGGCTTCTGCCAGTCATCCCAGGTAACTTCTCCACCTTGCACCTGCACAGGGAGAGGCAAATGATGAGGACAGGGAGAGAATGAGGCAGGGAATTCACAATCGTGAGCACTGAGTGTTAGGTCTAACTCGGTGGGACTGGCATCCTTAAATCATTTGACAGGTGAAGAAACTGAGGCAACTTGCTTGCCCAGCCATACAAGAAAGTTACACAAAGCTAAAATTGGAGCCAGGCTGGTCTAGCCCTAGAGTTCTCTTCTTCATAAGATGCTGTCTTCTGCAGAAACCACAACACAGCGCCCAGAGGAAACAGGAAGGGGGTAAAGGTTCATGCTGAGAAAGTGTGTCTGTGTGTGTGTGTGTGTGTGTATGATATTTTTCCATAAAAAGTGGATGGAGAATGGGTTGAATCAGTTGCCAAAGTGGCATTGGACAGCCTTTCCTCCAACATGTCCGGATGTGGGTCAAAGAATGATTTCATGTTGCGGTTTAGGTTTACAAGGCACTGTTTCACATGTGTGATCTCACGTGAAACCACCATGGCAACCCTCTGAGACAGGTATTGCCATCTCCTGCTGACCAGGACACTTCAGGATGGCTCTCAGCACAGTGCCTTCTTTCTCTCACTCAGTAACACCTGGGGCCTTTAGCGATCTGCCATTCCACCATGCATGGTTGCTTGCACGACCTGGGCAAAGTCTCAAGCCTAAAAGAATGGTGGCTTCTGGTTAGTTCAGTTGGTTAGACCACAGCCTTGTAACACCAATGTCAAGGGTTTGGATCCCCATACCGGCCAGCCACCAAAAAGGAAAAAAAAGAGAACCAAAAGAATGGGGAGGAAGACCAGAGGAGTCAGTGGGGGGTTAGGGGAGAAGATGAAGACCTGCATGCTAAGAAAAGAGGGGGGACTCTGGACACGCGTGAAATGAGGGGCGAGGGTCAGGGGCCAGGCTGCTTGCACTGAACCAGCCCATCTCAGTAGACACCTGACCGCCTTTATTTTGCATTAGAAATACATGACCTGAAAAACCTCGGACTTATTTCTGTATTTTTGGTCGTGATGTTGATCTTGTATGCGTGTTATTGTTTTTCTTTTAGTTTTTAGTGAGTGTTCCTTTAAAAAGGAAAAAAAAANAAAAAGAGAACCAAAAGAATGGGGAGGAAGACCAGAGGAGTCAGTGGGGGGTTAGGGGAGAAGATGAAGACCTGCATGCTAAGAAAAGAGGGGGGACTCTGGACACGCGTGAAATGAGGGGCGAGGGTCAGGGGCCAGGCTGCTTGCACTGAACCAGCCCATCTCAGTAGACACCTGACCGCCTTTATTTTGCATTAGAAATACATGACCTGAAAAACCTCAGACTTATTTCTGTATTTTTGGTCGTGATGTTGATCTTGTATGCGTGTTATTGTTTTTCTTTTAGTTTTTAGTGAGTGTTCCTTTAAAAAGGAAAAAAAAACTACTCTTGTTTGAGTTGAAATTGAGAGGAAACAGGGGTGGTAGGCACCTGGGTTAGCATAGGTTAGGAGCAGTGCAGCAGCCCCTCAGGGACGGAAGCTATAGCAGCAACTCTGGTCTGGGGGGCGGGGGGTATTTACTTCCAGGGAACACTGACCGCGAAGAAGACTGGATTTCTGCACTGCAGGACCCAGGTGAGATTCCAGTGCAATCCCGAGTACCTTGATTCACAGCCAGGGTCCTGCCTCCATCCAGCAGCTTCTACACACTTCCCTGTCGGGGTGGCAGAGCCTCCATGACGGTGGCTGGCTTGACTCCTGCTGGAGTGGGAGAGGAGGTGCAGGAGAACTTGGCCTGCAGTGACCGTCACCAGGAGATTCTGACTCCAGAAAAGGAAGTGGGGAGGCAAAAAAAAAAAAAGGCTGTAAAATTAAGGGGAAAAGAAGGCCTTGAAGATCCTGGTCTGGCAAGGTTAACAGTTCCTTTTCTGTAAGAGAGATTCTGCCACGTTGAATAGGTAAAATAGTACACAACTGTGAAAGATGAGTTCCACAGCACGTGCGTTAGACACCACCCACGGCTACACACCTTTGTCAGCCCCCATCCGATCCAAGTGATGGATAACGTATCAAAAGCCCCTCCGACATTTCCAGATGAGATGTTTGGAGAGGTGCCATTCAACAGGGCCAAAAAACCCAGACAGAACCTGAGTGTAAATGAAAACCATCTGTCACCTTTGTCTGACCTATTTAAAAGTTTTCGGTCTGACAACAAGGCCTTCTCCAGGAGCGCTAAGGAGGGACGAGGGAGAGGAGGTAGAAGATGGGCCGGTGAAAGGGGAGGGAAGAGAAGAGGAGCATCAAAAGAGCTGGGGAAGGGCTGGCCCTGAGAACAGCAGGGAGTCAGCAGAGCCCAGGTGAGATGTGATTTTTATGCTGAGTCACTCTATGACTCAGCAGAAAGGAGCAGTAGCAAAACAAAGACCTGAGCTGTCCGGGATGGCAGCCCCACACTGCGGCCGCTAAGCACCTGAAATGAGGCTGGTCCAAACCGAGATGTGCTGTACGCACAAGTGCACACCAGATTTTTAAGATTTAATATGAAAAAAGGTGTAATATCTCAATTTTTACTGATTACATTTTGAAATGATAATTTTTGATATCTTGGGTTAATGTTATTCATTTTACCTGTTTCTTTTTTACTTTTTAATGTGGCTACTCGAATATTAAAAACCACATATATGGCTTGCAATATTGTTCTATTGGACAGGGCTAGCCCAAACTGTGGATTAGAAAGACTTGAGTTCAAATCCCTCCTTCACCGCTTACCTGGGGACTCTTGGCAGGCAAGCCCAGCTAAAGCCACCAAAGGCAAGAGGAGCCGTAGAGAAAGAGCACAGGGATGCAACAGGCTGGGTTGGGGACTGGCGGTGTGTGTGGGGAACAGACAATGGGGAAAGTGTAAAGAGGAGAATGCTGGAGAGGAGACAGAGGATCCCCCAGGAAACAGGGAGAAGCTGCGGCCTCTCACAAGGCTGTCCTCACTGTTGGGTGAACCTCAGTGCTGAGTCTGGCATATCCAATTTGGAAGTAGCCTGAAGGATGATCCAATCCGGGGACACCAGGAAAACAGGCACCAGAGCAGCAACATCCCTTCCTGTCCTGATTCCCAGTTACCTGAGGTTTCCACGTCCTCAGCACCTCCAGTTACTGTGGCCCCTGAATTGAGGGATGGCATCTAAGACGCAGCAGGGATGAACACCGCGTACCAACTACAAGGTCCTCTTGTGTGGCACTGGGGTCCTCACACCTGCTCAGACTTGTTACCACGCAGTTGGCTACCATCCCCCTTTACAGAGGCTCAGGGAACTCAAGGCTACCCGGTGTGGTGGCAGACTCAGACCGGAGGCCCTTCCACTAGCCGTGCTGCCTCTACTGGCACGCGGAGAGGCAGCCACCTGGAGCAGAGATGAGGTTCCGCCAGAGTCACCAAAATTCAGGCACAAGTGCCAGAGCCAAGGCTCTGCTTTCAGGAAGGAGGGAACAGGTGGAGGTGTTTGTAGAAGGCCCCAGAGCAAATCAATGTCAAAGCCAGGACAAGAATGCAGGATTCCCAATTCTAAACTTAACTCCCCAGGGCTTAAGGGCTGGTTCTTACTGAGGAGCCACCTATTGAAGGTTGGGGGCTCTGGGCCGAACAGTTCCACATTTGGAAACCTGTGAGGTCCTCGAGGGCAGGATGTGTCTTAACCTATCTCTGTATCGCCAGCACCCTGGCATGGTTCTCAGCACACAGCTGCAGAGCATGAATGAATGAATGAATGAATCAAACCAGCGCAACCGAAAACGAGACTAAGGGGGGTGGGGTGGGTGTAGAAGAACATCACTGGGACCCCTTGGAATGGATTCTTCCTTCTTTCCTGCATCCGTGAATATGCCAGGCATTGCGCTGGGTACAAACCATAAGCAAAAGAGGAAAGAGGTGTCAGGGAGAGGACAATTAAGCACTTAAGAACGAGAAAGCATGTAGGGCTATGCCTTCCTGCTGGGCCTTGACCCCTGTGTGACCTTAATCAAGTCCTTTCCATCTCTAGGTCTTAATTTGTCTAATAGGAGTAGGGTTTAAACTAAACAGTCAAAGGTTACTTCCCACACTGACCATGACTGGCAGATGGTAGATGTTGAACCCTCTCCCAGCTGTGGAGAATCACAGCCCCACCACACAAGGGCAGTGGGGTGGGTGGGGTAGAGGCACCCTGGGCCGAGGGAGACAGACACTCCTGGAAGCTGGGTCCCCAGAGATTGCACAGCTGGAGGTAACTGGCTGTAACAAGGAGTGAGCCAGTAGTAAATTCCATTCAATAAAACTTTGATTGCCTATGAACCTTGTAAACAGGCAGCTCCCCTGTGGGCTGAAGGTGCTCTCTTCTTCTCTCCCTGCAGCCTTGGGCCTTGTGCCAGCCCAAAAGCATCCCCCAGCCTCCACTGTAATGTGTGCCACCAAGGGTTAAATGCCCGCTAGCAGGTGAGAGCCTAGGGGCAGTGGGAGGGAGAGGAAGCTGGAATCACTTAGCCCTCATTAGTCCAAATTAAAATCAGGAGTGAGATGACAATTACAATTTGCAGTGGGCTAATTGTTTTCCCTCAGAAGCTGATCGTTTTGCAGATTGGGGAAATTAATTGTTTGAAGTCCCAGGTGGACTGGCTTTGAACCCAGCAGAGGTGAGGCAGGCCCTGCCTCCACTACTTTCCCACCCTTCAGGGCAGCCACCCGGCAATGGCTTCTGCCCTTGGGGGTCCGTCCTCAGGCAGGAAGAGCTTGAGGGTCTGGGGTTCTAGTAGTCTTACCCCTGGGTGGAGAGGAGGGGAGAGCATTGGCAGAGAGGTAGGGCTGAAAGAATCCAGCAGCCCAGTCAAGAGGCAGGCTCCAGGAAGCCTCCTTGGTTTTCCATGAAGTTCCCAATTCCATCAAGCATCCAACAGTCACTGTGACATTCATTCACTCATGCAAACATCCACAGCTACTATGTGCCAAGCACTATTTAAGGAGGCTGGGGACACTGCAGTGGGCAACACAGACACGGCCCCTCCTCTCACGGGGAGGGGGTGGACAATAAATGTGAGTAAATTAGACAGTAATAAGGGCCCTGAAGGAACTGTGGCAGGCAGAATGGCCCTCCAAAGATGTCCACACCCAATCCCTGGAGCCTGCCAGATCTGTTACCTTACAAGACAAAGGGCACTTTGCAGATGTAATTAAGGTGATGGACTTTAACATGAGAGAGTGTGTCTTGGATTTTCTGGGTGGGACATATCCAGTCTAACAAGTCCTTAAAAGCAGAGAACTTTCTCCGGCTGGAAGCAGAAGAGGAATTCCAAGCATGTAAGGATTTGATGTCCCGTTGCCAGTTCTGAGATGTATGTAGGAGGCTGTGCACAAAGATTGGACAAGGGCCACTTAGGGCTGAGGCTAACCCACAGCTGACAGCCAGCATGGGAACAGGGGCCTCAGTCCTACAACCACTAGGAACTGGATTCCACCAACCGCCTGAACGAGCTCAGAGGCAGATCGTCCCCAGAGCCTCCAGAAAAAAAGAGTCCAGCCTGGCTGACACTTTGACTTTGGCCTTTTGAAACCTGGACCAGAGAAACCAGCAGGGCCAACTCAGGCAGACTTCTGACCGACAGAACTGAGAGCTGACAAATGTGTGTTGCTTTAAGCGGCTAAATTTGTGGTGATCTGTTATGGCAGCAATAGAAAACTCACTCAGGAACTCAGCAGGGTAGTAGGATAGAGGGACGTGGTGCTATTATAACCTGGGTGGCCTCTTTGAGGAGGGGACATGTGAACTGAGACCTGAATGATGAGGACGCAGAGTAGGGTGACCAACTTGTTCCCATTTCTCAGTTTCAGTACTGAAATCCTGCATCCCCAAACCACTCAGTCCTGGTCAAAGCAGATGGTTGGTCACTGTAAGGCAGAGGAACAGCCAAATCACAGGCTCTGAGATGGGAGATTTCTGGTGAGTCATCAAAATAAGCGTCCTTCAGGAAGCTATGTCACATACAGGAGCAGGTGATGGGGGCTGCTGGGGAATCGCTCAGAAAACTCTTTCCAATAGGGAAGAGCACTTCTTGCTAAGGATAGGTGAGAACTTCTGGAACACTGTCCTCCCAGCTGCAGGACTTAAGAAAGACCACTGCCTGCCCTGCCCCTGGGGTACTTTCTTTCTCCCCTGTCCACCTCCCTTCCCCAGCTGGCCCCTGCCACTGCCCAGGTGTCTCCATGTGCCAGGGTACCAGATGCCGCTGCTTTCCCCAGCGGGATGCTGGCACACCTCCAAGCAGCACACAGCAGGGGGAATTTAAGACGTCTTTAATTAGTGAGACAATAGGAGGCTGGGAAGATGAGAAGACAAAGGTTGTGGACGACTTAACACCCTGTCAAAACAGCGGCTGTGAGCCTGAAGAATGGCCGGAGAGGGAAAGGAAAAAGCAGAGAGGGGCAGCGGGACTCTCCCCCCTTTCCCCTCCCCTCCCATGGCTGCTGCCACCATTACATTAACTCACCCCCCTCCCAGTTCAGCTGGTCACCTGCAAATGTTTGGAGTCAGGTAAGAAGCAGCTGTCCAGGACCTAAGAAGGAGGCAGAGTTTTGTAGCAGAAAGAACAAAGAAGGACCTGAGTTAAAACGTTGGCTCTTCGTCTTGGTGTCTGTGTGATGTCTGGCAAGTTAATTGCTCTGGGCTCAGTTTTCTCTTCTGTACAATTACAGTAATAATACCCACTATGCAGGGTATTTGTTGTAAAGATTAGAGATGTCAGGAAGTGCCACACATGGAGTAGGTACTGAATAAATGGAAGCTATTTCTGTTATGAGAGCTACATCTTCTCTCCTCGACCCCAGCCCCCCAATCCAACATTTTTCAAACTCAGAGTGTGCCCAGGAATCACCTGGAACGCTCATCAATATGCAAATGCCCATCCCAC